AAACTACAGCCACTCTGCCTATATAATTATTCTAATATCGATACAAAATACAGTCAATATGCCTATATAAATCCTTTGATAGAGCTGCAAAATAATGATATCGTAAATATTTCGTATATATATATATATATATATTGTACATATGGCATATTTCATAAATGCTACTCTCTAACTTTGAATAGCCAGTGCTCACGGCCAATGATCGGATACACTGAGTAGAGCACACACAAAAGTTAAAAATGGTTTAATAAAAGTCATACTAAAGCCCAGAAACTAAAATTGCGGACAGAAAAATAAAGGTAAGGGACCAATAATAGGTCGGTCCAAAAACAATTGCCATCGCCAACACCTGACTACTGACCTCTGACTAGATGACCAGGGCCAAGGGCCAGAGGTCAAGCCGTCCAGGTCTCTAGCAGGTGCCCTAGAGGAGTTCAACTCGGTTAAAGTCACAAGATGCTCTCTTTTTAGTCTTGTTACTCTTACCTCTCGAGTCTCTGGCTCTCTACTTCTCAGTTCTCAGTATTTTAGGCATACAATATATTTGTCTTTTGTTTTAAATAAAAAACTATGTGTTTGTAAAAATGTAAAAAAACTTGATATGCAAACTCTACTCGTAGCGCTGCTATTAAAAATGATTGGCTTATTGAAATATATTATAGAAATAAAAACCTTATATTATTGAAATGTATTTCGTGTATTTTCAAGTTTATTGAAAAACATAGCCTAATATAGAGAATTACAGACTTTCTGACTACACTGTCTACAGTAAACAGGGTTTAGGGTTTAAGAGTTTTTAGCTATAAAAAAAAGCCGCTGAGCCGCCGTACCCTGCACACGAGACTGACGAGAGACTGAGCGTCACTGAGAGTGAACTTGTGAATTTCAATTTCAGAATTCAGTTATGAACCAGCCACTGCTGCGATTCACCGCACCAATTCTGATTCGGTACTACGGCAAAAAAAATATACGAGGAAAGTTGGTTTGGAGTGACTCATTGGACTATAGTACATGTATATTTCATAGGGCATTGTTTAATTTTAACTAGTTGAACACAACTGTGGCAAAAGCACATGTTCTACCTCGAAATCGGTAAAATATCGCGAACCGGATACCGCGTCGGCCTGTCTCCGGCGTACGGGCAGCGAATTTTCGATATCTGATGCCTCCAAAGTCCAAGGTGTCCTGAGTCCTGACTCAGTCCTGCCAAATGCCAACAAGAACTTCACATTGACAAGAAGAGAAGTGGCCGTTTCAAGATGCCCGTTATGAAATTGAACTATTTATTTACGATTTTTCATTGATGATTGTGCATGTGTGCTCTGGATCCGTTTGGCGGATGCAAATTGCAATGTATTTTATACAATTGCGCTTTTTGAGGGTCTAAAGGCCTATAAAACCATGCTATTCTGTTTACGGTAATTCATTACCGCAATCAACTCCGTCGTGTCAAATCAACAAACCAAATCAAAATGTCTTCCAGAGCCTTCATGAGTTTTATTCAACACCGTCCCGCTGAGATTTATCCAGTGGTTGCCGTTACCGTTTTCGCGGTCGCACTATGTGCTGGATCGGTTGCACGTACTTGGGGACCTGCTCGTGCCCAATGGACTGTTGCTGGACGCCACCCTGAGCTTCACATCCAAGAGGGTCAACAAACTAAGTTCATGTCCGTAAATCAGAAATACTCCAGCTAAATCATCACGCCGAAAATGTAAAACACCGGGATACTTTAGTTGCGCTCCGACCACCGCCAGTTTTGTTCGTAGCAACTGGTATGCCACGAGACTACAGTCCGTATGCTCGCTTTAAATATGCATGACTGCAACCATGTATTGAGAGTAAACCACATATCCTTAAATGAATAAAATATACTTAGCATACATTGAATTTAGATTGTATTCTGCAATACAAGTTGCTACAAGTAATCCATATAATATATTTATATATATTTATCCATATATATATATATCTATATCTATATATATATGTAATATATATATTTACTTATATACTTCTATATATGAATACATACATGCATGCTATTCGTATGTATACATATATATATATATTTTTATCATACTGCTGATTTGAATTTTGATGGACATGTGGAATCAGTCATTGTCTTAATGTTTTTTCTACAACTTTAAACTGTAATTTTGAAATGAATTTGTATTATTGACTGAGTTTATTTTATGATGTATACAATACATACTCGCACAGTCAACCTATTCTGCTGCCATATGTTTCCACGTTTTATCTCGTAGACTTATAGGACTGATATGTTGTCGAAAAAAATACGTGTTCACAGAATAGGTTTTCTCACTCATCTCTTGTTGTTGACAAACCGAATCCCTTTACCCCTGGTATACTAGATTCAGTAATTATCTGCTGTCCCTATTGGATGTGGAGTTCGGTTAGCTTGTATACTGTTGATTTACAGCCATTAGCTTTGTCTGCTGTCCCTCTTGGATGTGGAGTTCCGGGTATCTGCTGGCCACAGTCCATTGTGCACGAGCAGGTCCCCACGTGCGGATAACAGAACCAGCACAGAGAGCAACGGCAAAACCGGTGACGGCGATGACTGGGAAGATCTCAGCGGGGCGGTGTTGGATGAAGCTAGTGAAAGCTTTGGCAGTGATTGGAATCCAGATTTTTTCCGTCTACTTTTTTATGCATTGTTTTAGTTTTCGACTCTTCGAATTATCGCGCATATTCACTATTCACTATTGTATTTACATATTTACATTGTCGAGCGTCGAGTGTAGAGTGTAGACTGTAGAATGTAGACGCTACTCTAGTGGCTACTGACACTGTACAGAAAAGTCAAAACAGTAGAGAAGGTCTGGAACTTCCTGCAAGGCCGGAGGCCCGGAGATGAGATCCGAGATTGAGATTCATGAATACACTGAAAAA